TTTATCATATAAGATTATTAAGTTAAATTTTATATAAAAATTAAAATAAAATAACTAAATCTACTGAAGGTAGTATTTTCATAATTTATATTCAAGTTATGTGGATTCTTTTTTTTTTTTCCTCCATATTGTAGGCCGACTTTTTACTCTAATCGTTAATTTTTCCCAATAATAACAATTTAATGTTGCCAAGTCATATTTTCTGTCTAGGCCACTACTAAAAGTAGAGACGTAGAGTACTTACCTGCCGCTAATCTCAGTTTCTCTGTGGGACCTGGTTGCATATCTGAGAGAAAATTAGGGAGAGGAGTACAATTTTCACGAAAGTAAGGGACTGAGTTGTATTTCAAGCTAAACTGAAGGGCGTTTGGATACGGATTTAAGATTCCCACTATCCCCTCTTGTAATCCAAGTAAAGAAGTTGCGGAGCTGTTGGGTGGTCTACAAAAGAAAAGGAGAAATGCAAGGCTGGTTATCTGGTGGCGCCGGGATCGGCGAAGAGCAACCCAAGGCGGGATCGTCTCTGTTGGCCAAATGGAACTCGTACGCAGCTTCACGACACTCAGAAGAGGGAGGAACGAGTGGGTTTGGGTTCGACATCGAGGCGCTGCAGTGAGGTCTGCTAATGATACCGTCACTGGCACCTTCAATGTGTAACCATCATCTTTTTCTCCTTGATCTTGGGAAAGTTTTGTAATTCATGTTTTTTTTTTTTCTTTTGGGTGTGGATTGCCGATTTTGATTTTGGGTTGTCGATTTTATATAAGTGAATTTGATGACAGGTGGTTGCTTTATGGGACCTAGGGCGGCTCTATGATTTTGAGGGTTCTTTGCAATACAGTGTCCTGTATTTTTGCTAGTGAAATTGATTGTTTCAGATTGCTGTTTGTCTACACCAACATAGAAACAATCTATGTGGTATTTGATGATATATGGGAAAATGAGATGGCTGAATTGGCAAGCCAAGTAGGATTAGTTTTGCTAGCAGCGTCGTTGTATGAATGTTCAGTTGTTGTTTACTTACTTAGTAGGTTTAGGGCTGTGTTTCAGGAGAAGTATTTAGGGGCAACTCTTGCCATTTTTGTAGGTTTAGGTGTCTATGAAATTGGTTATCCCCTTCATCTGTTTCTCCGTATTTCCCCCTAAACTCTCTCTGTAATCAGTATCCATTTGACTAATATATTGGAGATCATTCTCTTCTTTACTTGATTTTGCTTGTAATTCTCTACTCTGTTTATCCTAGGCATCATTTGATTTCCTAACCATTATGCAGTCAGTGTAAGTGACGTAGAGGCACTTTTATGAGCTCTTTAAGAAGATCAGCAGTGATGTTATCGATGATGGGTTGATTAACAAGGTTCATTTAAATTTTATATTTTTATTATTGGTGACTTATCATAGGCTTGTTAAATTTGGGCATAGAACTTAGAAGTGTTTTTATGAAATGAACAATAATTCACATTAAGCTGTTTCGTTTCTTTCTTATCTTTGTATATTTGAGTTGTATTCTTTTTTTTTTTATTAATTATTATCTTTTGAGAGGAGGAGTTTCAATTGGCATTGTTCAAGATAAACAAAAAAAGGAGGTTGTTTGCTGATAGGGTACTCTTATCGATCTCGCATTGCTGGAATTTTCATTATTGTTGATTAGTTTCTAGACAATTTGGCCCGCTTCCATATAAAGGGCTGGAGAGTGAGTTTCTTCAATTTTTTTTGTTTGTTGCGTGCATTCTTATTCTACTACTATTAAGTTATTGCATTTTTCTTAGTACATTGATCTCTATCTCCTTGTATGGTTTCATTTATGATGATTTGTTCCTTTCCCCTCGCTCGTTATGTTAATTCTTAGCCATTTGAATACTGTGAAAGAAAATTTGTCTTGGCAGGCAAACACTGAAGTTCATGATCTACATTACTCGGTTTGGTTTGGGTTTGGCTCAAACTGTTATTATGGCATCAGTAGGTCAATTGGTCTTCCACAGTCGAGGGTAATGAGAATAAATTAGAATTATAGAAATAACACTATAAAGAAGAATTCTTAAGCTTAATCAATCTTGAGAAAATAAACTCAAAGCAACTGAAGGGATTTCCATTATTAAAAAGTGTAAAAAGCAAGTAACTGAAATGAGAGTTTAATCAACTTTCTCCTTCTAGCTGCCCTCGGCATCAGCATTTCCCGCATCACCATCACCGCTGTCCTCATGAATGCTAAGCCCAGCTTGCACCATCACCTTCTCCACCTTGGCGGCCAGAAAATCCTTGATCCCCTTGAAAAGATTCTCCAACGTCTCCATAAAAGCTTCGCTCCCTTCCTTCTCATCTTCATTCTCATCAAGATCCAGACCCTCCGTGGTAGCAGAAACAAGCTTCTTACCCTGAAACTGCTTCAGTTGACCAACTGCATACTCATCAATTGCATCCACCATGAAAAGGACTTCGTACCCCTTCTTCTTCAACTTCTCAAGGAATGGAGAATTCTCAACAGCCTTCTTGCTTGCACATGTGATGTAGTAGATGTCATTCTGCCCCTCCTTCATCCTGGTTACATAGTCCTTCAAGCTGGTCATCTCATCACCACTCTTGGTGGAGTGATACCTGAGCAACGCAGCAATCTTAATCCTGTACTGGGAATCCTCATGGATACCAAACTTGAGATTCTTAGAGAATGACTCATAGAACTTGTTGTAGTCTTCCTTGTTAGCAGCAATCTCAAAAAAGAGTTCAATGCAATTCTTCACCAAGTTCTTTCGAATTACCTTCAAGATCTCATCCTGCTGCTGCAACATTTCTCGTGAAATGTTGAGAGGAAGATCCTCAGAAATAACAATGCCTGTCACAAAGCCAAGGTATTCAGGGATTAGATCCTCACAGTTGTCCATACTAAAGACATGGGGGACATACAGCTTAATGTTGTTTTGCTTCTTTCTGGTGTCAAAGAGATCAAAGGGTGCTCTCCTGGGAACAAAAAGGATAGCCTTGAACTCAAGCCGGCCCTCAACAGAAACGGAGAATCGCTTGACAGCCAAGGGCTCCTCACAATCATTGCTAAGGCTCTTGTACAAAGCAGGACATTCTTCCTTTATGATCTCCTCATGCTTCGTCGTCCAGATGGGGTTCTGCTTGTTCACCAAAGACCACTCATGAGAAACCTCCTTGATCTTCTTCTTTTTCTTCTCCTTCTCCTTGTCCTCATCAACTTCCTCAACATTTCTTTCATCATCCTTCTTTTCTTCCACATCCTCATCATCTGAAATCTCCTTCTCAGTAGTCTTCTCAACCCACGGGGAAATTGGGTAGCTAATAGACTCACAGTGCTTCTTGATTAGGTCCTTGAGACGCCGCTCCTCAAGGTACTCAAGCTGGTCCTCCTTGAGGAAAAGTGTGATCTTGGTACCCCTGCCCAAGTTCTGACCAGAGGTGTCCCTGGTGACAGTGAATGACCCATGAGCTTGAGATTCCCATACATACTGCTCATCATCATTGTGCTTTGTGGTAACAATAACCTTCTCAGCAACCAAATAAGCAGAGTAGAAACCAACACCGAATTGTCCAATCGTGCTGATATCAGCACCAGCAACCAATGCCTTCACAAATTCCTTGGTTTCGAACCTTGAATGGATACCAAGATTGTTCACCAAATCTAAGCAAAAAAATAGCAGTTATC